TCTGCATCAGCCTTTTGTCCACGGAGCCACGCTCTTTTGTGCCTCCTGCCCCTCCCCATAGAAAACAAAGGTGATGCTGCAAGACCCTCCTTCAGCTCTATCAGGCTGTCAGTAATAAGCCACATACAAGTCAGTGGAGAAGCTGCCTCCAGCACTCAGCTCCTGCAGCTGCAGGGATTGCCGCTGTGCACACCCGTGACAAGCACACCAATGCCAAAACCACCACTCCTGACAAGACACTCTCTGTAGGAGCCTCGTTACCAACCAGTGACAACTGCTCCATACAGAAGTCATTCCCAGCTCTCATGAAGAGGTGCATTGATTTTGCTGGTGCTTGTTATGTTCCAGTAATGCGAAGGCATCAACAAGTACATATGGGGAAGGAGTGTATTTTTTTTCTTGAAGAAAAGCTCCAAATCTAAATGAAAATCATATAGCTTTATCTTGAAATGTGCAAGGAGGATTTAACCAAACCAGTAAACATGGCATTTACATAGAAAACTACAGAACAAAGTATGCAACTTTGTGACTTAATCTTGAAATGAGGTCTAATGAGGTTTAGCATGATGAATATGAATGCATTGTTGTAACAATAACATTTATTGCAATTGTACAGATAATTGTTACAATGATTTTAAAATAAGAGATAATCTAATCTGTTTTCACTCTTTTTCTTGGCATTCAAAGGCTGGGATTGATTTCTGCACAGTAATGCAACAAGAACGTTTCACCTCCATTTGTTAGACCTTTGCACACTATCTTTTCTACAGTTAAACCACGTGGAATTTCCAGCCCAAGCAAAAACTTCAATATTCAAGTACTTCATTATTCAACTTTTAAAAATCCCAGCAGAAGAGATGCAAAGTGTCTGTGACATGAATCTCATGTGCTTCCTTTTCACCTTGGGGAGAGGATAAATTAGCCTCAGTCTTTACAAGTATTTATCAAGTAGTTACATTTTAATCCTAATTTATTTATGCCTGAATCCAGCAAAGCATTTAAGCATATCCTTATGCTAAACATATGAATTAGCCCAAGCCCATTAACACTACAGTTAAGCATCATGCAAACTCTGATGGATACTTTTCACTTCCTTATCCTGCAGAAAGCATTTTATTTATATTATAATGAATTAATTTTACCTGAAACACCACCTATATGTTGATGGTTGCGAAAATAGTATTAATTTGTCATAACCACTGCAAACTGGACAGGTGAAGTGAGTTTATCTCAGGGCACATTTCTGCCCCATGTTTTCAATGTAACCTGAAAAGACTACTATGGAAAATCAGGTGTTATCACCTACTGGTTAAATGCAAACAAAACAGAGTTACCTTCCTTTGTTTTGCAATGCTTCTTTAAAACAACAGATGCTCCGTTAAATCTCATGTTCAGGCATTTATCACATCTGTTTTCTGTTCCCTTGCAAAGTATACTCACAATAGTGCTCAAATGAATTACAATGAGATTCGTCAGTTGAAACCTAAAAGGGAGTTCTGGGAATAAATATTTAATTTTAGGAGGAAAAACATAGGTGTTTAATGGCTTTAAACATGTTTTCAGATGGTTCAAATAGGCAAATGGTTCAAATAGGCAAAGCTCCATTACAGCCACAGTTTGAGACCTGATGTAACCTTCGTGAGGTCTCCAGAGAGATGTAAGGCCACAGGAAGAGGAAGTGGAGTCTACAGGGGTGGGGAGCCTGAGGGTACAGGCCGTGAACCCACAGCACAAGCAGGAGAAGCCTTGATGCACCAGTATTCTGGCCCTGCAGCCTTTTCCAGTAATCACCACCAGCACAAGAAAAAATTTTCACCTTAAAAATGAATGAATCTTCGGTGTTCTCTTGTAAAACTGGAGCCTGCCTATTCAAAGGCACTGAGGAGGCTCCAGTAAAGAACTTTCATAATCACATTTTCTTCTTAACAGCTTTTGTGAGAACACAGGAAGGTCTTTCTCCCCTTCCAAGCCTGAAGAGACCTGGAGAATGGTATTGACAAAGACAGTCCTTCAACTCAGGAGTAGAATTTGACTCAATTATTCTGCAGGCTAACAGTAAGTAAAGAGAAAAATATTGCTTTGAAGAGAAGGGTTTCATTGCAGCAAAAATTATATACAAGCATCTAATAAAGTATAATCTAAGACTTGTCATTCATAAGCTACCATTTTCTCTGTAGCAGCTCTGAAACGAATTCCTGCAGCACTGCCACACAAGTAAGACAACCTGGATCAGGTAAACCAGTTCTATTGCCAACGTCCCTTCCTCTTGTAACTGTTAGCCCCCTTTTTTTGTCCAAATTATACTTCTTCCTTTGAAAGACTCCTCTATCGTCACAATGCCTCTCCTAATCCCTTGTACAGACTCCATGCATTTGTCTTCCAGTTTTACCCTTGCTACCTTCCAGGCATGTTACTCATGCCAGTGTCTTGCAACAACACAACATTTAGTTCTTCCAGACTCTTTGAGTCAATGCCTCATTTCTCTTGAAGTAACTCCTGCTTTCCTCCACAGCATGAGTGGAGGGGGGTGTATGTGACTAACATACTGTTCGATCTTCCTTCCCCAAGGACCACTGCCTTGCAATTTACAGGGAGGCTCAGTTCCTCTGAAAAACAGAAAGCTAACCAAGTTCAAATAGCTCTAGAATTTTAAAAGCAAAGTACGCTTATCTCTTGTGTAGCATGTCATACAAAAAAATAAAGAGCTCTTTGGAAAAAAAAAAAAAAGTTACTCGTTGTCTGAGCACACAGCTGTTTATGAGATGAGATTCAGAAACCACCCTCCTTAAAGCTCCAGAGGAATTCTGCCTTCACTGCTAATTCACCAGCAGAACACAGTGCTCTTCTCACTGAGGGCCTGATGTTACATGTAAATGTCATCCCTTCAGAGAGTAGCTAGAAAACAACAAGAAGTTTAAAGATAAACAACTTCAAGTAGAAGCAAACACTGAGGTTAAGTTTGGATTGGATTTATTGAAATTTCTTTTATGTCCAAGGTACTGTTACTGCACAATTCAGAGAGCAGAATAACCAAATTCATTTCATTGAAGCCAAAAACTCATCTGAAGTTATCTGAAGGACAGAATGCTCTCAAATAGCCTTTTACACGCTGAACAGAAGAGCAATCTTTGAGCCTTTATTTCTTATATATTACAATGTATTTTGTTAACTTGTCTTCAGTGAAACAAAAGCAAATCAGACCTCGAAACCTGGTCCATCCTGTTCTTAGAATCTCTTGGTGCAGCAAAGCAGAAAAGTTCCTCAAACTTGAATCAAGCTAACTGAGGTACCAGGAGCAGATTCATTTTCTCTGGCCTTTCCATTTGCAGGGCAGGCCAGAGGAAGTGTCAGAGAACATACCCAAATTTTCCAGTTTTTCCCCTCGTACAATGGGAACACATCAGATTGCAGCTGCAAAGCTCTAGTGAGAGCTCAAGGTGGGAAGATGGCAAAAGATTCTTTCTCTTATGACCAAAATCTCCTCTCAGCACACGAGCAGCTACCTGAACAGCGCCCTGGAGACAAGTCTAACACCAAATAAATGAATGCTACTATTACAGAAACCTCTCCAGGGGAAGTCCTATTGCTCAGGATGTTTAAAACTAGGCCAGACAGAACCGTGGCAGCAGCACAACAAAAAATGGATGGCAGAGGCACTTCCTTAGTCTCCAGCCTCTGCGGGATTTCACGGCTGTTAATTGGGAAGTTGGAGAGACCCAGGGCACTGCAAACGGGATGCGAGGCTTTTTAACCAGAGCTTGCTGACTACTGCTTTACTGCCCTCTGCTTTTGTGTGCTGCTTTACCGGTAAACTTCACATAACTTTTAAACAGGGGGTCACGCTTTCAACCCTGCTGATGCACTTACTTCACCCAAGAAAAAGTTTTAGCAATCACCACTTCCCTTTTGGGAGGCAATAACAATTCTCTTTCCTCACCAGGTCTGTTGGAGGAACATAAGAAGAAATTACACTTTTCAAAATAATAAGAAAACCCTGTGAGTTAACTGTCTATAAAAAAACCAAGCCACCCAGGCAGAGCTGAATTGACAAGGCCTTGTGCTGTATAATCACAGCCCTCCACACACCGCTTTATACAATGTGTTGATCATTTGAATGAATAGATTCAAAAGACTTCATTTTAAGAACACATGAACTTAAAGGCCATACTAGCAGATTGTAACCATGTTTAAAGCTAAGTTCACAAAGACTCCAACTGAATAAGAGGAAAAATATACTTTTTCCAGCATGCTTAACCTGGGAAGCTTAACTGGTTTCAGTACAGTTCAAAAAGACCTCTTCTGTTAAAAACCATGTGAATAATCTTGATGAGACTCCCAGCAAAGTAACTTGCCCAAGCCCTTGTAGGACCAGAACCTTGCTTGTTCCTTGCTATGTTTCTAAACAGAAGCTAAACTACATTTCAACAACTTCAAACAAGCTCATGGAAACCCAAAGATATACCTGTCATTGCTTAGTCACCTGACGGACTGTTATAGCACTTGCCCTACTAGTGCCTTTCACCTGTAGCACACATTTCACGCTGTATTATTGTTATGTTGGGTGTTTTCAGACAGCAAGAGACCACATCTTTATTTAGCTTTATAACTCACCCACTGTACATTGTGAGCATCTCAACAGACCTGTCTCAGCGACTAACTTCAAAGGTATTGTGCACATAAACCCCCTTGCCCTGCTCTGGCAGCAATCCAGGGGATGCTTTCCATGGGCAGTGCCAGGCTGTGGGACTCAACCCTACACACTGGGTGTCAAAAAGTCAGTAAAAGTGTAATCAAACATCTATTTTATCACTAAACTGTAACCTCCTCAACACATCAGTGTCCAGCCCACTGGTAGGTAGCATAAAACATAGGGCTCTAACACCTTAATGTAATGAGTGTAACTCTATCTTTGCTAGTTACACAAAGGACTACTGAAATACACAAGTGCTAAGGAAAGGGTGGAAACGATTTTAGACATCCTGATTCCCTTTCTGCTTTACCTCACAGGAATTGTACACACACCTGGGGTTCCTGGGTGGGGAGGAGCACGGTGTATGTCACTGCTGACCGTGTCTCTCTGTGGGGAGAAGAGGGACAGGGTAATTAACCCCAGGTCTGTGTTTCCGTTTTGCGGCTATAAATGCTCATTTCTGGATTTACTACTTTCCTTCACAGCCCATTTTGAAGCGCAACCGGGGCTGTCATACAGCTCCACACCGCTGATAAACCCTACCCGCCTCTCTCTCCCCTACCGACTTGTGTGCCAGCTTGGGGGATTCCCTCGCTGCTCTTCTCCGTGGGGCCGGCCGCACCGGGGGAGGTTCAATCTCACCACCGGCCGGCCCGGCTCAGAGCCGGCCACCCCCGTGCTGCCCCGGGCAGAGGGAAGAACGTCCCGGGGAAGCCAAAGCGCAGCCCCGAGGCAAGGTGCCCTCAGGATGCTCCTCAGGCCCTGCTCCGCCGGGCTACCCCTCCTCCTCGGCCCCAGACCTGCCTCTGCCGAGCGGGGGGTCCCAGACTCCATCACTCGAGCGGCGGCGGCAGCCGGGGTTGCCCTCAGGCGAGGGCTACCCAGAGGCGGGAACGGCCTGAGGCAGCGCCGGCAACCGGGGCTGCACTGAGCCGGGAACAGCGCCCGCGGAAGGCTGCGCTGAGGCGGGGGCTGCCTGAGGCGGGAACAGCCTGAGGCGGGGGCTGCCCTGAGGCGGGGGCTGCCCGCCCCGCCCCGCCTCCGGGAGCCGGCTGGTCCCGCCCCCCCCGCGCCGCCGCGTGCCGCGCGGAGGCTCGCCGCCGCTGAGCGCGCGAGGGGCGGGCGGGCCGGCCCGTGCGGCGGAGCGGGCGCCGGCAGCGCGGCCGCGGGGAGAGCGGGTCCATGGAGCACAACCACGTCCACCTGCACAACGGCTCCCTCCTGGCGCACCACCGCTATGGCTGCGGCCTGGGGTACGCACCTGTCGTCTACTACAGCCTGCTGCTGTGCCTCGGGCTGCCGGGTGAGTGCCGGGCTGCCCCGGGAGCTGCCGCTGCCGGGAGAGGCTCCCGCAGAGCTGCCGGTAGCGCCCGCAGAAGCGTCCTCTGCCAGGCTGCCTGCGGCGCGGTGTGGTGCGGGATGGGCGCGCTGCGGCGTCCCCGGGAGCGGGTTCTCGGCGGGGCTGAGCGCGGGTGTTCCGTAGACAGCGCCTTCGCCGCCCGACACGCCGCTGTCCCTGCGTTTTGGTCGCTCGCCGGGGTTTGTCCCCGCGTGCCCTCGCACCGCTGCAGTCGCTTTCTCACCCGGGCTCGGGCGCTCTGACTTTGAACTTGACATACAAAGTCTCAGCCTGTCGTGAAGTTCCGGCCGTTATCAGTTTGGCGATGTGAAGACAGAGCGGTACGAGGACAGCAGGGTCTGTCCCCTGTCGATCGCGGGCCGGGCTGGCTGTAATGAGAAATGTAGCTGAGGAGGTTTTGTAGTGCAAATCTGGGGCAAGGTTGGCTTTAGGAGCAGCGTGCCGCCAGTGAGGAACTAGGCTGGGGAAGGAGCATGCTGTCAAGAGGTTAGCAGAGTTTTGTCTTACTCAGGGGGCTGTGTCTACAGCTGATGGAGCAGGACAGTATCTAGAAAAGTCTGGTGTTGGGGTCAGTGCCCTGCAAGGGCAGTGGCAATACTGACACTGAGATCCCCGAGTGCACATACAGGGCTCAGAAGAAAGTCCCAGCTCACAGGCACCAGCCTACAGCCTGCATAACCCTCAGTGAAATCCCCTACTTAGAAAGGGGACAAAGACAATATAGAGATGCTAGAGATGAGAAAAGCAAGAGAGACCCCAAATGGGGAAGGAAAGGATCTTTCAGGCTTGGGTGTGAATACCTGTGAAGCACCATTGCCAGCATGCACATATCCACAGCCACATGAGCATCACATCAGCATCAGTGTGTCAGCTGAGACAAGGGAATGAGCAGGTTTCACCTCCTGGAGGGGACTGTCTGAGGCTGTCAGTGAGACATCTTGGCACATAGGACCACAGGGTCCACAGCACCACTTCTGCAGGTAAAGACTGGGCTTCAGTAGGCAGAGCTGCCAGCCCAGCACAGCTTGGGTGGGCAAACATCATGGCTTGCTCCCTCGTTTAACATCTCCAGCCTCAGAGTGACCTACAGCGATCCCAAGGACAGGCAGAATGAGTCGGGGAAAAGTTAGAGCAATGTGATGCACCAGGGTGAATCGGTATTTTAAGGGTGCAGTACAAGAGTTTGGTTGTGTCTATGTACAGCTACACGTTTAAATCGCTGTGTGAAATGACAAGCAGCAGTGACATTTGGGAGTCTACAATCTCTAAATGTTTTGTTCACCTAAATTCCTTCTTCAAGCAATTAATTCATAGAAAAAAATCTAATCAGACATGAAGAGCAGCCTACTACAGCAGGTACCTGCATGAAGTGATGTTCTTTGTGGTGGGGTTTTGTTTGGTTTGGTTTTTTTTATGCCTCCCTGGATTATAATTAAAATTTGAAGATTGGCTAATAGTTCAGACTAATACTTCACAAAACTGGGAAGTTAAGTCCTGTATTTCCCCACAGAGGATGTAGGGCATAAGCAAATGTCTCTGCTCCACAGTATTGATGAGTATCAGCTCTGACCTGAAGGGACCCAGCCAGCAGGGGTAAGGAGGTAGTTTCCTCTTCATTAGTGCCTTAGATGTCCACAGTAATGACAAGCTGTGTTTCAACACCTGCCCCTAGGAACTGACCAAGACCCTCTCAAGATTATCAGGTGAAGAAGTTGTTATGAAGCAGTCTGTAGCTAAACTTGCCTTTGTATGTCTTCGAAAGGGGGAAATTCTTATGTGCACAGACAAGAAAGATCACTTAATGAGTGTTCAGCACATACTTGCACCAGCTCCCTAGGGATACTGCATTGTAATTAGAGACCTAATGCTGTTACTTTAAGAACATGGTTAAAATTGGTGTACAATCCACATCAGCAATGGTGACATGCATTTCTTGGGGAATCAGACATCAGTTGATTAGAGCAGTGGCACCAGTGGTAGTACTTAACAGAACTGACCAAAGCATTTGTTGGTGAAACAGTGCTGGGTTCAGTGGACTCACATCAGGTATGAATGTGTCAGCTTGTTCAGTGCACATTATCTGAGGATAACGTTGGCACTAACACCTGAAAACACTGCACATGTACAGTGTACTGAGTGCATGAGAAATTTATGATTCTCATGTGAAGACTGCACAGAGATGAGAACAAGCTGGATACGTTTAGGGGAAGACTCAAATAGCCAAGCTTCATTGAGGATATGTTACAGGGTGAGAGCAGTGCTAAAAAGAGCTTTTCATGTTTTAATTTGAAGCTGCTTTTCCATTTTCTGACATTAGAAAATTGGAAAGGTAGCACACTTAACTACCTGTAGAAAAAGAACCCTAAAGTCTGTGGGATCAGAGCAATTAGCTTTGTGTGGTGCCAAGAATTTAAGAGAAAGTGTCTAGGATCTGTTCTCAAATACAGCACTAGTGCAGTGTTTTGCTGAAATGCAAACGGTTTACTCCTTGCCACAAATCTTGATGACAGACTGATGAGAAACCAGTTAACTGTTTCTGCCTTTCCTGCTCTAGTGTCTGAAGGAAATTTCACTAACTCAACAACTCCACTTTGAGGCCAAGTGATGCCAGGCCTGATTGTGCAGGCAGAGAAAGCATCCTTTCCCCTCCCTTGCGGAACCCAGGCATCTCAGCAGATCCTGTTCTCAGCAGTGACTTTTTCTCCCTCCCTGTTCAATCAGGCACCAGAAAGTCTGAGAAAGGCAGAGACAAGAGAGCACAAAGTGAACTCCTTCACCCCTGCTCTGGCTGTGGCACACAGAGGCAAGTTGCAAGCTGTGCCCTGCAAAGAGGGGCAACCACAGGGGCATGAGTGCAAGCAGACCCTGCTGCAGCAGGTACTGTGTCCCCAGGTGGTCTGGTACTGTACTTCAGGTACAGTCTGCCGGAGGTGATCCTGCCTCCTGATCAGCAGGGATGAGAGATCTCTTTTCCCTCTAAGCAGATACTGGTGAGACAGAAACTGTTTTCTCAGACTTGTTCTGAGTGCAGATGTGCAAAGGTGTCCCACAAGTGTGCAGTTGTGCTGCCAGAAGCAGGCTGTGTGAGACAGGGGGAAGCTGCTGGTGCAAGGGTGGGGAGCAGAGAGAGGCAGTAGCACTGGAACTGGGGTCATACTCCCATTTGTGGGGGGAATGGTATAGTTTACAGAGCTGTTCTGCAGCCCCTGTTCTACCATCCCTGCACTCCCTTTGACTGTCACTCAGAGAGAACTTCTCAAGCACCTCCAGTTAGCCAGGAGGCAAGAGCAGGGCTCCAGGAAGGCTTAATGGAAATGTTTCTTGCTTTAGTGAGAGAAAATGACAGAGAAGAGATGTTGTGGGATGTGAGGAAGAGAAGAAATTGCTTTGATTCAATCTAGAAGGGGGCTGGTAAGGCGAGAAAGGAAAGAGCAACAGGTACCAACTCTTAGTCCATCCCTTTGTCAGTGAGAGCTGCACAAAGCAGTTTCACCAAAGAGCTCCTGCTATGGCTGTGCTTCTGAACATGGCCATGAAGGTCAAGAAGAGAAGCAGCAGCGCTTTCTGTAGGCACCTGGCTTTGACCCTGATTCCTGCTTCGTTAGAAGGTGCAGCAGTGACAGAGTTGCCTTCCATGCACTCACCTTCCCTGTCGGGGTGTAGTGTATTGCTGCAGAAAGGACAAAGTGGCAGCATTTCACACACCAGGGCCTGGCATGATCCCTTCTTTCCAGGGGTCTCCTCCTCCTGGAGAGAGAGAGTAAAATCTGGCTTTCTTACTGTGTGATCGCTGGTTCCACTTTGCTCCCTGGTCAGTTGCCTACCTGGGGAGCAACTCTGCTTCAGGGGTCATCACATGCCAGTGACACAAAGTACGGACATACCCAGCATCTCCAGGAGGTTACAAACCAATGTCCCAGGGAAGTACCACTTCAGACTTTGAAAGTCCACAAATGCTTCTTTTCTTTGTGCTTAAAACTGATCTCATCTA